TGTAATTGTGTGAGCGTGGGCTATTGCGTGTGTGCGCGCACGTGCCCCCGCTCCCGGTGACAGCGTTGGGCGTGCAACTGCCAGGGTCTTGTGCGTGTCCACGAACGTGTCCTCGCGACTGCGTCCGCCAAAGTCGGTGAGCGTGGAACAGGAACGACGGGGCGTGACTGGGGGCGTGCCCCCGTGCAAGAGGCTCCAGGGGGGAGCGCGTCTCCACTGTTAACGAACCGGGTGGTGGGGGGCGGGGGTTCCCAACCCGGGTTACGTGAGCAGGGAAGACACGGCACCGGTGCGATCCGGGGAAAGGCCACGCCCTTTTCTCTGCCGGGAAAACAGGGCCAGCGGCCGGGCTGGGGGAGATCGCCGGGCGCTCCTCCGGCCGGGGTGAATCCCTGGGGCTCTCCCTTTGGGGTGTCGGGAGTCCCGGCCCCCCTCCAGCTGGGCTGGGGGGGCATGGCTCTGGGCCAGCGGCTGACTTACCCTGCCTGTCCCCCATTCTCTGTCTCCCCTACAGAAGCACCATGCTGGGCTCACACGCCCCTCTCCGCGGAGCTGCCCTGCTCCTCTCCATCAGCCTCCTGACGCAGTGCTGCCTGCACGCCGCCCCCCTGCCCCCGGGGGAGGACGCCCACCGCGAGGAGCCCCGGCAGCCCAGCCCCGCGCCCCCCGCCAAGGAGGTCCGGGCGAGAGCCCTGCCCGCCCCCAGCCGGGAAGGCGGGGACGCCAAGGAGGAGGAAGACGACGACGAGCTCTTCCGAGACGTGGACCCCAAGGCCTTGGCCGCCGTGCTGCTCCAGGCCCTGGGCAACGGGGGCCACAACTCTCCGGACAAGCGCCGGGCCCCGGATGAGGAGCGGGTGCAGAGCCAGAGCCGGAGCACCAGCCTGGGGGCGGGCCGGGCCCGGGAGCAGCAGCTGGAGGAAGAGGAGGAGGAGGAAGGCAGAGACAGCAGCTCCCAGGAGCTGGAGAGCCTGCAGGCCCTGCTGCGCGAGCTGCGGCCACTCGGCCCCGCGGCCAAGCGGGAACGCGCCCAGGGGGACGCCGGCCACAACGCGGTGCTGAAGGAGCTGGAGGAGTACGAGCGGCTGCGGGCCGGCACCAAGCGCCGGGCCCCACCAGCCGAGCCCTGGGCCGGCGCTAGGAAACTGAGGCAGCAGCAGCAGCTGGAGCACCAGCTCCTGCAGCGGCGCTACGAGGAACTGGCCGAGAGCCGGCGGCAGGCCGAGGAGGCCCGCAAGGCGGCCGCCGAGGAGGAGCGGCTGGCCGACATGGCCTCCGACCTGCTGCTGCAGTACCTGCTGAAGGGCCGGGAGGACGAGGGCGAGCAGGGGGCCGACGCCCACGAGGAGGAGGAGGAGGAGGAAGAGGAGGGCAGGTTCCGGGGCGGCAGGGCCAAGGGCAGCCCCTTGCTCTTCGAGGACGAGGAAGGCAACGTGGCGGAGGACAAGCGCTCCGACGAGGAGGAGGAAGACGACGACGTCATCGACCCCAACACCATCGACCAGCTGATCGAGCTCTCCACCAAGCTGCACCTGCCAGCCGAGGACGTCATCGACATCATCAACGACGTGGAGAAGAAGAAGAAGGAGGCGGCGGCGCTGGTGGCGCCCAAGCACCAGGCCAAGCCGCTCCCCTATGCCCTGGCCCGGCCCTACTATCCTGCCGCCCCCTGGCGCCGCCCCAAGCCGGACGAGCGGGACTGGAATGAGGTGCTGCACGGGGACGACTACCTGGCCCCCAAGAGGTACCTGGCCAAGCAGAACGACTTCTCCAACTACATCCAGCCCAGGGCGTTCCAGCTGCCGCCGCCGCCATCCTACCCCCACAGCCGCCACCTGCCGGGCTCTCTGGCACCCAGGGACGAGGCCGCCGCCGCCGGCCGGGCCCGAGAAGACGAGATGGAGAACTACATCGAGCAGGTGCTGATGGACCATGCCCAGGCGTTCCAGTGAATCGCCCCCCACCATCTCCCCATGGAGAAGTGTGGTCATTCTGAGTGTCCCAAGCATTTCAGGTTGTGCATGAGTCAGGAGAACAAACCCTGTCCCTCCCCACGCCCGCGACGCCGCCCCCCAGACTTTAGGATCCCTGGGTCCCACCAAGCCCGCCGCGCTTGAAGGAACCGGGGGGGTTGTGGAAGACGTGGCCCCATCCGGCAATTGGGGAACACGCCTCCACCTTCCTTTCAAGGAGACGCTCTGTGCAGGTGACAGGAGGTGCCAGCCCATGGAGAACCCGATCCTGATCCCGCCGCTCTTCTCCGAGCCCCCAGGGACAAGACCCCCATGTGTCGTCAGCTCTCAGGCACGCCAGCATTCTCCACAGCCAGTGGCCCCAGCCCCTTCTAGTGCGGACATGTCCCCAAACCCCAGCCGGAAGAGCAAGCGGAGGCCACTCGCTCACCTCCCCTCTTACGATGCTAAACAGCAGCCAGCGAGGGAGGCCGAAAAAAAATCTAGACCGGGTCACTGAAAACAGAGCAAAGACCCAATTGGCTCCAAAATTATCGTCTCGGCTTCAGTGTGTTTTTCCTTCTCATCTCAGCAACTTCCCACTCTCCTCCCTTCTGTACACTTTTCAAAACACGAACGCAGTGAAGGGAAGCGCGATATTTGGATGTGAAAAAACAGAGAGGGTTTGTTTCAACATGAACTTCTAGCCATTCTGGGCGGGAGGAGAAAGCCAGAGCAAGTCCCGAGGCGGCGGCGCGGGGGGGGGGGGGGGGTGATCGCCTCGGGGAAAAAACAGCCCCGCGGGGGGGTAAAATCGGCACCGCTCCGTTAATTTTAAGGAACTGGCGACTTGACTGCAGGGGTGCCGATCCTAACATTTACAGGCGCTACAAAGCCATCCTGCCCATCCCGTCTGAGCTCTTACATAACTCAGGCGGAGCACAGCCATCCAGCCCGTAGCTGGCGGTTGAGCTAGTCTCTTTTCGAAAGAGGGGGACAGACTCTGAGTTCGGGAGAAGGGCGTCAAATAGGGGCTGTCAACTGAGCCCAGGTGAGGTTCTCTCCGTTGTTAAAACGCCAGAACCCTTCAAAATTAAAAGAGCTCCACAGTAGCACGTTTACATGCCCAGATCTATGTCCCCAACACACGCTCTCTCTTCTGCAATCCCACACTGGTCCTTCCGCTTGTCCCAGAATTAAGCTTTGCACGGCGTCCGTCCTCCGGAGCGGGAATGAGGGGAGAACAGAGTGAGATATTCCATACCAAACTGCCTTATCAAGCTATCTTTCCACCGGGTTGTTTCTTCCATCAACCGACACCGAAGCTCGAGGTTAAATATTGTGACTTTGCCAGTGTTACGCACCCCAAAAACATGCCCCCCCCGCCAGGCATGCCGCGTGCTGTGTCTTGCTGTGAATTAACCACCATCCGAACACTACCAGCATTTCCAGTCAAGCAACCGGTCAGTTCTAACCCACGAAGCGGCTAATGTTAACAGCGGGGGAGCGCGCGGGTCGGGGATGGGCGTTGTACTAAGGGCGTTTGCGCGTGTATTTTCACCTGCATCCAGTTTCCGAGTGTGTGAGATTCTTGGCTTTGTGGCGTCCGGTTCCCAGTCCTGTGCCGTTTGTTTCGATGTCCTGACCTCTGTGTTGTACTTAATAAAACACGTTTGGCCTGTTGTAAATAGCATGTGGAATTACTAGTTTTGCTAAGAAATAAAAGCAACTATTTTATTACGAGTTACTCTCATTATTCACAGTTGGCACTGGGGTCCCCGAGGAGACGCTACGGAGATCCTACGCCGGGGGCCTGTCTGGCTCAGAACCTGCCTCGCCTCCCCCCCAGGCCAATGGGGCCACCCAGGCTGGCAACCCCGCATCATATCAAACCAAGGGCGCATCTAGCCCGGATCCCACTGCACCCACCCACAACCTCAGGTCAGACCAATGGGCGCATCTAGCCCGGATCCCACCGCCCCCACCCACCCCTCAGGTCGGACCAATGGGTCTATCTAGACCAGATCCCACCGCACCCACCCACAACCTCAAGTCAGACCAATGGGCGTATCTAGCCCAGATCCCACCCCATCCACCCATAACCTGGCTGGCTAAAGCACCTGTCTGGTAAACAGGAGATCCTGGTTTCAGCTCCCAGTGGTGCCTTGGTCTCCTTATGCGGGGGGGGGATAGCTCAGTGGTTTGAGCATTGGCCTGCTAAACCCAGGGTTGGGAGTTCAATCCTTGAGGGGGCCATTTAGGGACCTGGGGTAAAAATCTGTCTGGGGATTGGTCCTGCTTTGAGCAGGGGGTTGGACTAGATACCTCCTGAGGTCCCTTCTGTCACGGAGTCCCCGGGCAATGCTCTGGAACTGCTCCCCACAAAGCCAGTCAGGACTTTGGGGAGCCTCCTCTCCCTTGGAGCAGACTGTCTTCAGGGCAAGAAGCTCACACGGCTTCACCTCCTGGGTCTCTCCTGGGAGCATTCAGTATATGCCCCTCCGTGCGCTTCCCACAGCGAGTCCGCCCCGGCAGGGTCCTGGGGAAGCCAAAGGGTTCTACACCCCCCACTTCGCAGTTAGACGTGACTCTCGGCCAGCCAGTAAAACAGAGGTTTATTAGATGACAGGAACACGGTCTAAAACAGAGCTTGTAGGTACGGCGGCGAACGGGACCCCTCGGCCGGGTCCATTATGGGGTTCAAAGAGCCAGACACCCACGTCTGCCCTCACTCCTAGTCCCCAGCTAGCTCCAACTCTCCAACCCCCTCCAGCCCCTCCTTCTCTCGGCTTTGTCTCTTTCCTGGGCCAGGAGGTCACCTGATCCCTTTGTTCACCTTTAGCTATTTCCTTGGGGGGGGGCCCTGGCCATTTGTTGCCAGGGAGACAGAGTGTCAGTGATTTATGCACACTGGCCTTTCCCCACCACCTAGAGACTTAAGAAATGCATAGGGGAAACTGAGGCACCCACACAGTATTCAGAGGAAACATTAACAGTCCCACTTCGTCACACCTTCCAGCCCTGATATTCTATGAACCTCAGGTCAGACCAATGAGCACAGCCAGCCTGGATCCCACCGCACCCACCTACTGGGTGAAACCAATGGGCTCACCTTCCTTTTCTCTTACTGGTGCGGAGCCGTTTGCCCCTCCAGGCCAGTCTCCCCCACAGTGCAGCCGCCAGTCCCCGGTGCTCGAGAGACTGCCACCTTACCATCTACCTAGGGAGTGGTACGCTCTTCACCGCACTGGGCATGAGCCCCCCACCAACCGACACACACTGCCCTTAGCCTTGTCTCCACTGCCTGGGATTGGCGTTACTGCCGAGGGCTCACAGACCTCAGCCGAGAGCGGGGACCCCACAGGCCCTCAAAGCAACTGGCCTAACCAGCCTGTGGCAGGCACGACGCAGGCGTGTCTGGCTGAGATTCCCTGGTCTGGGGTCTACAGGACGGATGGCCGTATGGATACCTAGTAAGCTATTACATGTATCATGGTAGTGGCTAGAGGCATTAACTTGGCTCGTCACCCAGAAACGCCCCTTGTGCCAGCTGCCGCTAAGACCTTCCCTGACCGAGATCGGGGCCCCTGTTGTGCCAGACACTTGTCAGACTCCCTCTGACCGAAATTGGGGTCTCCCCTTGTTCTGGGCACTGCACAGATCCCCTCGACCAAAATTGGGGTCCCCCCTTGTTCTGGGCACCGCACAGATCCCCCTGACCAAAATCGGGGTCCTCCCTTGTTCTGGGCACCGCACAGATCCCCCCGACCAAAATCAGGGTCCTCCCTTGTTCTGGGCACCGCACAGATTCTCCTGACCAAAATCGGGGTCCCCCCTTGTTCTGGGCACCGCACAGATCCCCCCGACCAAAATTGGGGTTCTCCCCCTTGCACCTGGCACTGCACAGACAAAGTGAATGACAGTTTCTGCCCCACAGCGTTGACTATGTAAATAGACAAAGTCTCCCTATTCACACATAGGGAAACCGAGGCTGGAGAGATGCAGTGACTCACCCAAGGTGAAAACATCCACTCAATGTGCAGCGGCAGCCGGAAAAGCAAAAAGAATGTTGGGAATCATTAAGAAAGGGATAGAGAATCAGACAGAAAATATCATGTTGCCTCTATATAAATCCATGGTACACCCACATCTTGAATACTGTGTGCAGATGTGGTCGCCCCATCTCAAAAAAGATCTATTGGACTTGGAAAAGATACAGAAAAGGGCAACAAAAATGATGAGGGGTCTGGAATGGCTGCCATATGAGGAGAAGTTAATCAGACTGGGACTGTTCAGCTTGGAAAAGAGACGACTAAGGGGGGATATGAGAGAGGTCTATAAAATCATGACGGGTGTGGAGAAAGTAAATAAGGAAGTGTTATTTACTCCTTCTCATAACACAAGAACTAGGGGTCACCCAATGAAATGAATAGGCAGCGGGTTTAAAACAAACAGAAGGAAGTATTTCTTCACACAACGCGCTGTTAACCTGTGCAACTCCTCGCCAGAGGATGTTGCGAAGGCCAAGACTATAACATGGTTCAAAGAAGAACTAGAGAACTTCACGGAAGATAGGTCCATCAATGGCTGTTAGCCAGGATGGGCAGGGATGGTGTCCCTAGCCTCTGTTTGCCAGAAGCTGGGAATGGGTGACAGGGGATGGGTCACTTGATGATTCCCTGTTTGGTTCATTCCCTCTGGGGCACCTGGCATTGGCCACTGTCGGCAGACAGGACACTGGGCTAGATGGACGGTTGGGCTGACCCAGTCTGGCCGTTCTTAAGGCCACGCAGAGGGACTATGTCAGAGCAGGGGCCCTGAGTTTCAGACCCAGAAGCCGGGCCCAGATCTTTCACCTCGAGCTCCGCCGCGGCCGGGCTGGCTCTCGGGGGCTGCGTTCGCACAGCGGGAGAGGAGGGGCTGACGCCGGGGATGCCGGAGAGCGCTGCGCGCCGCTGCTGGGAGAGGAGCCGAGTTAAACAGCAACGATTTCACTGCGGGGAGAATGATCCGGACTGGCAGAATTCGGGCCTGACCTGAGCTCCACGCAGCAACCCCGGGAACGGGAGAACTGTCCTAGGTCTCAGCGCCAGCCTGCCCACCCAGCTGCTGTCCTGGCATCCCAGGGAGTGGGTGCAGGCGGCCCCAGCAGCTGGGGGGTTGGTTGGGGTAGGCACGGGGTGGGGACAGACCCTCAAGACTGACCCCGGCTGCGGAGCCATATAAAACTCATTGCGCACAGCAGACCGGGGGAGGGAGGCGGGTGCGGACGCACCCATCGAGGTTAGCCAGAACCCACTCCCCCCTGCACATAAACTCACTCCACACGGCCGAGTTCTCCACACACACTTTATTCCAAAGGGGGGACCCCGGTTCCCCAAGGGGGGGCACACGCGCTCCCCACGCCCACGGAGACGCCGGGGGAAATGGGACCCCAGGATTGGCTGTAGCCCCCTGCCCGGCGGTACCCAGCTGTGGTGTGGCGATCGCTTCGGCCGGCGGCAGGATCACTGTGTAGGGGGATCTCTCTGCACAGTCCCCCCCGCCCAGCCGGCCCCTCTCCCCACGCTCCCCGCTCTGAGCGGCCATCGGCAGGAAGGAGAACGCCGGGGGTGGGGGGCTCCCCGAGGGGTGTATATCTATATATTTACACACAGTTCATGGGGCTCACCCCCCCGTCGGCTCCAGGGCGAATTGGTCCCACGTCCGGCTGCTGCTCCACGGGGCGAGGAAGACGGAGACGTGGCCCCCGCGGCGTCCGACGCGGCCGGGGACAGATGGCGAGCAGGGGAGGCCTGGCGAACGGCTCGCTACGCCAGCCCCATCTCCTCCAGCACACTGCGGGGTGACTCATCCTCCTGCAGCACAGAGATAAGGGGGGAGGGAGGGGACGTCAGCGGGGGGGAGACAGAGTCCCTCCGTCCTCCCCCCACATGGGGAGCGGGTTAGAGCCCCGTGGCAGGGGGGCTGGGATTCAGGGACAGAGGGACCCCTGTTGCAGGCAGAGTGGGGCGCTCTGAGCACTCACTTTCCCCCTCCTCCCTATAACCGGGCTGGTCTCAGCCTCGCCGGTCTGTCCCCCCAGCCCAGGCGAAGCCTCTGCCCCCGAGCTAGGCCTGCCTAGCACCGCCCCCCCGTGCAGTCTAGTGCCCCCCAGGATGGCTGGGACCCTGGGCACGTCTCCCGCCACCCCCCGCATTAACCCCCAGGGTGCCGGAGATGGGCTGGATTTAGTTACCACCCCGGCCTGGCACTAACCCCGCCATGCCAGCCCCACAGCATCCCCCCAGGGACGGGCGAGGGACCCAGGCCGGGCGTTAACCCCTCGGGCGCTGGGCGGCGCACTGGCTGGAGTTTGCGAGCGAGAAGTGGCTGCTTTCTGCCGGCAGCCCGGTCGCCCACGCTGAGCGCAGGAGAGAGCTGCAGAGCCCGGTGACTCATCCCCCTGCACCACAGCCCAGGCAATGAGACAGCACCTGCAGTGAGGGCGGGGGGCCCGCGTCCCCCCATGCTGCGACACAGCCGGGGCTGGAGACAGGATCCCAGCCCCCTCGCCCCAGCCGCTGGTGTGTGCCGGGGGGTGGGAAGGGATGTGGTGGTGGGAGCAGTGCACAGGGGACAACATTGGGGGCTGCTGGGCTCTGATCTCCAGCCCTGGGAGCGAGGTGGCACCCAGGGGTTCATGCCCAGCTGGGGGGTGGTCCTGTCTCTGGATGCACGCAGGAGCAGGCCACACGCAGCCCTGTGACCAGCGGCTGTGACAGCACGACATGAACCCAGCCTGGCTCTGCTCCAGCCGGGGGGGGGGAGGGGGGATTGGCCCGTTTCCCCCCCCCCCCCGAGCGGCCCAACCCCCCCGGCCCTCCCTACCTCCTGCAGCAGGTCAGCCTGCTCGATGGCTTTCAGCACACTCTTCTTGGAGGTGTCTTGGATCTCCCCGCCCATGAGGAACTCGTCCAGGATGAAATAGGCCTTCTCGAAGTTGAAGATGATATCAAGCTCACACACCTGGGGCAGGAGGGAGGGAGAGAGAGAGGAGTATCAGGGCTGCCCGGAGCCGGGGAGAGAACCCAGGAGTCCTGGCTCCCAGCCCCCCACATCCCCCTGCTCCAGCCCCCACTCCCCTCCCCGAGCCGGGGAGAGAACCCAGGAGTCCTGGCTCCCAGCCCCTGCATTCCACTAGCCCCCTGCCCTGTGCTAGGGGCTCTGTTCCCCTCTCAGAGGGAGGGGCGCATACAGCTGGGAGGGGGGTGAAAATATGACCAAGTGGGAATTTTTTGTAATGTATTTTATGTCGCCGCTGTGTGCCTCAGTTTCCCCCTATACTCCACATGGCTCCCCAGTGGGGTAACGAGGATGAAGGGAACGTCTACCCCTGCAGCGCATGTGGTGAAGACGCTCTGGGCCGACGGGAGAGACGCTCTCACCCCAGCACAGCACGACGCACAGGTCAGGGTAACATACGTCGCTCCGGGGGGGCGTGTGGTAGAATAGCCCCACCCCGGAGCGACATGGGTTACACCGACACCAGTGGCAGTGTCCACGTGGCCTGTGCTCCCACCGGGTGGGCCGAACGGGTCATTAAAAGGATCAACCTGCTGGGCCCGGACATTAACGCCTAGCACCCCATGCCCCAGGGGGCGAAGTATTCCCTGCCTCTCCGCAGGGAAGCTGGGCACCACCCCGGCTGGAGACCACAGGACGGAGCAGCGCGGGGCGTGCAGCACGGCCTTTGGGAGACGCTAGCCGCTTGCTGCCGGCCTGACCGAGAGCGTGAGCCGGGAAATGGGGGCCAGGTCAGCCGGGTGGGTGCACCGCGGCGCGAGACACCCCTGTTCGGGAACGGCGGCTGGCGCACGGAGGCTCAGTCTAGGAGGTGTTGGGGCCCCAGGACTGGCCCTGGAGGCAGAGTGGGGCCCTGGCCTGCGGCTCCGTGACAGGGAATTAGCCGGATTAGCCCAATTAGCGTTTCTATCCCCCGTGGCTCAGCGGGCAGGCGCCTGCCCGGGGGGATTAACGAGGCAGAGTTAATGCGCGGGGGATTAGCTGGGATTTGACCCACCCACCCACGGGGCTGGGCCCGAGCGCCAGAGCCAGCCACATGGATCAGAGGGTCCCTGGGTCACCCAGGCCCCTTGCCTAGGGTCGGCAAGTCCCGCTGCCCGTCTCCAGGACACCACACCCACCCTAGGGTCACTGCCTGCCCCATACCCCCGGGACCCCAGACCCGCAGGGTGCATGGGTGTGTGTGTGGGGGGGGGGGGCAGGGGGCCGCACTCACACTGCCGAAGTATTTGTCCAGCAGCTCCACGTATCGGTGGATCAGCTCCAGCGTGATCAGCTCGTTGTCCTGGCCTTCGATGGCGCAGCAGAAATATAGGCTGGCGTATCTGCGGGCGCACGGCAGAGGGCTCAGCGGGGCGGGGTGGGGGGGAGATCCCAGCCAGCACAGGCCTGGGAGTGTACACGGGGAGGGTTGTGGCACATCCCCATGCCCCACCCCCACTACCCAAACCTCCCCCTGGTCCGGGCCGAGCCGAGCCCGTTAGACCCCTGGGCGGCCTCAGCACCAATGCCAGGGCCCCACAGGACGGGCAGAGTCAGAGACCCCCTGACCCTCCCCCTACGTGCCCTGCTCCTCCCAGGCCCAGAGCAGGGCGGCGCAAGGGGAAACTGCTCCCCCACCCCAAGTTCCCCGTGGCCCGTTCAGCCCTCTGGTGCCTCTGCTCGGGCCGCCAGCGTGGGAGGTGGCAGGTGCCGACAATGCCCTGTGACGGGGCAGCTGGGCTCTGGCTCCCAGCCTGGCAACGATGACAGACTGCAGGCTACGGGCCACCGAGTGGCCTGGAGACGGGGTAAGGCTGGGGCGCTGGCTCCCACCCGGCCCCAGGGCGGGCACTGGCTGGCTCCAGGGGGTGGGGAATGGGGCAGGGGGCTGTCCCCTCTAGGGGGCGCTGGCTCCTACCCGGCCCCAGGGCGGGCACTGGCTGGCTCAGAGGGGCGGGGAATGGGGCAGGGGTCTGTCCCCTCTAGGGGGCGCCGGCTCCCACCCGGCCCCAGGACAGGGACTGGCTGGCTCAGGGGGGCGGG